TTCCTAAATAGGCAGGGGAATTGAAAAAAGAAAAACCTGGGTGCTCATGAGAATAAAACTGGGGTGGCCACTGGGGGGGGGGCAGCAAATTCTCAGGGGGGGCCATGGCCCCCCTGCTGGCGCCCCTGGCTCAGAGAAGCTCTTGAGGTGTTGTTCAACATTTAAAGCAGTGATTTTCAGATGTTTCCCTGACTTGACATACCTGGTTTGAATGGATGAGTGATTAACAATCTTYTGAAGACCTGTTGAATAGCAGGGAAACAAGTTAAACATGCTGGATTGGGGCCCTTGAGGACCAGGGTTGGGCAGCCCTGCGGGGCTTCAGACTGTATTTACATAGTTTCATTARATGCCTGGTTCTCTCTCTGTGCAAAATGCATGAAGTCACAACGGCTGAATAGTTCAAAAAGGATCTTTGAATATAGAACTGATATAAAAGTGTGGTGCGATTGCTGTACAGAAGATATTTTGTGTGTGCACATGCTTGTGTCTGTGTGTGACATTTGAATCACCAAAAGCCAAATGGGCGTTGTTTATGTTTGTTTTCCTGATCAAAAGAGAGCCTCCTTTCTCCAAATGGAAACAAAGTAAAACATGTTTGCAGGTGCATATTAATATGACCCTGCACACGAARCGTAAGCAGGAGTCATATTGTTTTCGTACTGTTTATTTTTTTCTTTTTTCTTTTTTTTCAGTGATTTTTGGTCAACCGTACCACAAAAACGGCTGCACCAATCAACATGAAATTTGGCAGGACTGTAGAAGAGTCTGACCTACACTGCGCCAGCCTAAGGTTTTACGATAGACCCCATATTTGAGGAGGGGGCTCCTTTCAAAGTGGGGGTGTCAGGACATGCAAAAACGCTTATAACTCAGAAACTGTTCAACATAGAAGCTTCAGATTTCTTTTGTTGTTTAGCTCTGATGAGGGGCTATCCATCAGGTCCAACACCCACCCAAAAAAAGACCCCCACCCAAACCACTACAATTTTGGGATGCACCTAGTAGCATGACATTCATTAGGAATAAAGACTTCTGAGTTCTGGTGCATTTGTGCGTGYGGGGTCATTRTGTTACCACTATGCCATATCTAGTTGAAGTCTGCAAGAGTAGTTGTAGTCTTGTCTGGCTGTTTATTTCTCCAGCAGACAGCCAGGAGGAGGAGCCTGACAGTACAGGAAGCATTGAAGTCCTGTCAGTGTTTCGGGCTTCAATGTGAAGAGAACACTTTTTGTTTTAAATTGTAAAAATGTAAAAAAAATTTAAAACTATTTATGTTTTGGTCTGACATTGTTGAAAAGATTTAATCCTGTAAGAGTTAAAAACATATTTGTACATAATACATGTGACCCATCACATCGAAACCAGGATTAAGTTCAAAAGTTCAAAAGTGGAATATGAAGGGTTTTGATTTAAATGTGTTCTAAAATTGCATTTTGTCAAAATGTAATAAATAAATGCCTTATCAACATATTGTTTGAATGAACTGTCTGAAATATAATCCAAAAAATTTTTGAAGCATTTTTTGAGCAGTAGCCAAAAAAAACTCATTTTTAAGTTAAAGCACTTTAAAATTTAGAATTTTTCCCTGTGAGATAGGCAGCAATATTTTTTGTTTCTTTCCAACTGTGAAATCTTAATATACAAAATATTTGAGGTTATCTCTTTATAAGGACCTCAAAAATTACTCAATAAATTTACATAAAATTAGGATTCAGACCAAACAGTAATGTTATATCGTAACCAACAAGACGAATGAAGTCATATCTCTGGATCTGCTTATGATATCAGGATGATCCAGGTATCAAAATGTAGCTTTTAAAGCCAGAATCTGAAAATGTAATGAGGTCATTTTGACCAAATTTGATTTAATCCTCATTTCAATATGATGGGTCACATTTTTATTAGACTTTTCTGAGAGGGATCATGTTATTATCARTGAAGTCATCCTGAACCTTCATCTGAACAAGACACAAACCATGATGTTCCCACCTGAGGGACAGGTCTGGATCTTCTTCAGCTGGGGGACAGGTTTTTAATTAAAAATCGTTTTGTTTCCATTAAAATATGATAAGAAATGAAAGAAAAGTGCACCTCAATCCAAGGAGTCAGATAGTGGAATAATCTGGAAAATTATGTTAAAAGTGCGAAATCAAAGTACACGTTCAAAAGAATGATAAAGGTTGGATTGTTGAAAAAATATGAAAGAGTTTAATGTGTAACCATATAATTAGTTGTTTTAGAAAGATTTGATGTTCTTGTTTTGTTTTGTTAACTAAAGATTACTGGTTTGAATTGAGGGGGAAAGGGGCAGATATTATAAGATCTTTATTTTTCTCTCTGCTTCCTTTCATTTCATTGCATTTTTAGTTTTTATTTTTATTGTGTATAAAATGTTATTTTTTTGATTAAATGAATAAAGTTAAACAATAAAAATAAAAACTTTAAAAATTTGAGACGTTTAATTTTAGTGGACAAACCTCTAAATCATCTTTAACTTGTGTTCTGTCTCCAGTTCTGATGATGCTCGTCTCTCGTTGCCTCCGTCTCGTCCTCCATGATGTCCTCACTCCGTCCTGCTTGCATCACTTCCTGCTGGAGTTTGTAGGCACCGCCCTCTTCCTGTCTGCCAGCCTATCAGCTGTCTTAATAAGACCTGACCTGAGATCAGCTGCCAGTCTGACCAATCAGAGCCACTTGTCTGTGGGTCCAGAGTCTGGAGCCGCACCTGTGTGTCCCCTGCATGTGGTCCTGGTCTTTGGTCTGTCTGTTGCCATGGCGGCGCTCTGTGTGGGTGGGGCAGCTCACCTGAACCCAGCAGTTTCCATAGCAATGGCTCTGACTCTGAGGCTGCGTCTGTGGAGGGCAGTGCTGTACGTGATTGGTCAGCTGCTGGGGGGCGTGGCCTCTGCAGGGCTGCTGATGGTGCTGACGGGAGACGTGATGCCTGCTGTGAACCAGGTGAGTGTTTCTCTGAGTGCTGAGAGCCAATCAGAGAGCAGCATCATCATGTTTGTGTTCAGGTGTCCTCTGGAGTCCAGCTGCACCAGGCGGTTACTGTCGAAACGCTCGTCACCCTCCAGCTGGTCCTGGTGGTCCTGAAGACCACAGACATATCTCTGCCGGCAGCAGCAGCACCTCTGTTGGTCGGTCTGGCTGTCAGTCTGGGTCACCTGGTGGCTGTAAGTCCCRCCCATTCAGAAAGGTATCAAAGAAATGAGCAGCACACCTGTGACTGATGTCTCTCTCAGGTGGGGGCCACAGGTTGTGGGATGAACCCGGCCCGCTCCTTCGGTCCTGCTGTCGTCACACTGGACTTCAGAAACCACTGGGTCAGTGTCACACACACACACACACACACACACACACACACACACACACTTGTTTGTCTACCTATACATATTGGGACATTCCATTGACTTCCTTTAAATTTCCACAGACTAACCCCGACCCTCTACCCTAAAATTAACCTCACCTGACTCTAAACTAACCTAAACTCAGTTCACACCTTGGTCCTTAACCGAACCCCCAACCCACCAATGACATTTAAACAAAACAGGGTCCCCATATGTACCAGTGGTCCATACCATTAAGGGATGGGGTTAGGGTTCACCTATAGGGCATACTGGTTTCACCTAGCGGTGTTAACGGACAGTGTGTTTTTTAAGGTTTCCACCTACAGGAACAGCACCATGGGAAATGTGACTCCTGGGCCTCAGGAGTCTTAAAAGCAGCCCAGTCTTCCATGAGGATCAGCCTCAACCACACACGGACATGCCCACCACCATAAACACTGATCAAACCTCTGGAACTTTTCCTTTTCAATTGAAATTATTTGGTTACCTTAAAGATTAACACTGATACATATAACATTAATACTTTACCTCAACCTAAAGGACTGCTAACAGCCTTAAGCTCCACAGACCCCGCCCCCTTTAGCCAGACAAACACTGCAGCTTTCTCCCCAAAACCTGAATAAAATCAACACTAATTCAACTTAGAAACAAACCTAATTCCTGTAGATTCTTAGAAATTATGGTTTAACTTCCAAATTAACAGATTTCACAATCACATTGACGGTTCTATTCCTCATTTTTTATATAAAAAAAACTATTCATCACCAAATCACCTCCAAATTAGACACAGGACCTGACCTTGGGAACTGATCTGTGGGGCCCACACTGGTGAGAGCTTCTGGTGATAAACGGCCGAAATGCTTGTTGACCCAGTGGACACCACTGATGATTAAGTCCTGAAATCCTCTCTAGCATTAGATACAAATTATTACTGAGTCAGTCCCGCTACTGTACTAAACACCCCAAAAAAGGTAGGCCACCAGAGAACAACCTTAAAACAATACAAATAAAGCTCCAAAATAGGAAGTACGCATCACCAACTACATAACTATGACAATTAATTAACATGAACAAAAACAGCACAATTCAAATTGATACACTTTAGTTATATTATTATTACCCATTCAGATACATACGCAACCCTGACCCATTGCTTATGATTAAAAACTCAGATACATACCTAACCCTGACCTATTGCCCAAGATTACCCACTCAGATAATTGTGAAAATATTTATTTAACAAAGACAGAAATACGTGGTCCAGGAATGAAGGTACTCCGTTGAATGATCAGCTGAATTTTATTGCAACAACAGGAAACACAGATGACAACACAGAGTCATCAGAATGTCTTCCTGCTCTCTGCTTCTCCTTCTTTGAGSCAGTTGAGGCCTCATATATACTGTTTAATAAACACCATTATGTCATCTTAATAAAGCAAGATTTCATCCTAAGGAAATACTAGGTCAAGGGAAAACACAAAGATAAATACAAGTGTTATCTAAGAGTGATTGTTGTTAGCAAATCTTTAATCATTCTATCAGCGGATAAACAACATGTCATGAAAAGCTAGGTCATTAAAGTATGTCATGAATTACTGGCATAAACCAAAAAGTATTATTTCCAGAACACCTCCTCCATCTGATCATAAAATGATCAATAAAACAAAAAACAACCCTTTAATGTATTAAAAATATGTCAACACAAACCTACAGTTATGTACTTTTCTAAAATCTCAACCCCAKTAATTCAGTTTTTATTCCTCCCACAGTAATTACTAACCCCAAAACATAACTATTACACAAAAGTCTTCATCTTGAACACAAACAGGCTTGTCTGTTTTGATGTGTGGAAGAGTCAGAGGTGGTGGTGGGGCTCTGCAAATTTTCATAGCAGTTGGTTTASTGCCGGGGGCTGGAATATGATGAGGGTTAGCTGGATTTGGGCACGATGTGAGTTGGATTCTAATCTCATCAGGTTCTTCCATGTTGTTAGTAAAATCCAGGAGGGGGCACTTGCTGTCCTGTTGGGATCTTGGAGGAAAAAGGTTTGGGGTCCTCTGGTCTAGAGAAAGTGGGGTCTTGTCATTCTCCTGTTGCAGTTTAGGGAAACTCCTTTTCCAGATCCTCTGTTTTTGAGGCTGATAAATCCAACTGTTCTTTTGGTTCAGCAGCTTGAAGTAACTCCTCTCTCTGTGGTTTTGATTCTGCAGCAATCTTATCATCCATTTGTTTGTTGTTTTCCAACAATGTCTCAGTTTGTTCTAGCTGTTCTTCAGACATCGTCTGATCACTCTCCTGTTGTTTGTTTCCAGCCCGAACTTGGTTCAGATACTGTAATACTTCATGTTGGAAGCCAGAAGTCGAGCTCCAGATTGATTCAGAGTCAGCCCATCAGACTTGAACAGATGTTTTCGTTCCCAAAAGAGATTAAAGTTGTCCACATATTTCACAGAGTGGTCAGGACAGAACTTTTCCAAAAAGTTCTGAAAGGCAAACAGTCTAATGAATCTCTCAGCACCTCCTCAGGCTGTAGTCTGTCATGAATGTCATGAATTACTGGCATAAACCAAAAAGTATTATTTCCATAACAAGATGCATGCCCAACCCTGACCAATTACCTTAGACTAACCACTCAAATACATATCCAACCCTGGTCCATTGCCTAAGACTTACCACTCAAATACATATCCAACCCTGACCCATTGCCTAAGACCAACCATTCAGATACATACCCAACCTTGACCCATTGCCTAAGATTAACCTCTCAGATACATGCTCAACCCTGACCCATTGCCTAAGACTAACCATTTAGATACATACCCAACCCTGACCCATTGCCTAAGACTAACCATTTAGATACATACCCAACCCTGACCCATTGCCTAAGACTAACCATTTAGATACATAC